TCATAAATTATCTCATTTAATTGTCAAAAGTCTAACTTTCATTTTATAGATAAGAAAATTAGGGCCCAGAAAGGTTAAATAACTTCATAAGTTAGTCATTCAGATTTTCTTTCTCTTATCCCCTCATCTTCTCACTACTTCTATGTTCCTTTCCTTTCTCCTTTGCTCCTTTCTTTCCTCTCTTCCTCCCTTGCTTCCTTCCTTCCTCCTTTCCTTCCAAAAGCTTTTTTGAGTATAATTGGGACACAGCATACTTCATGTATTTAAAGTATACAATTTGATACATTTTGACGTACGCGTACACTTGTGAAACCATCACCACAATCAAGAAAGTGAACATACTTATTAAGTCCTTTGTAATTTCTAATGTCCCTCCCCTCGTCATTAGCAGCCACTCATTTGCTTTTGACACTTAAGTTAGTTCACATTTTCTAGAATTCTATATAAATGAAATTATATAGTTGTCTGGTGCTTTCACTAAATATAATGTTTTTGAGATTTATCCATGTTGTTGCATATGTCAGTAATTGATTCCTTTTTGCTATTGAACAGTATTCCATTTATGGATATACTGTAATTTGTTTATTCATCTGTCAGTGGAAGTTAGTTGTACCTATTTTTTGAACTTGTATTAAGTATATCAGTTTAATCACATGGTAGGTATTTTTGTCTGACTCCTGTAACTCAGCACTGTTGAGAGATCCTTTTGTATTAAGTTTAGTATAATTTATTTACAGTGCTGTTTAATACTACATTATTTAAATATATCAAATGTGTTTACTACTGTTGGACATTCGGGATGCTTCCAGCTTTTGCTATTACAAGTAATATTGCCTTGAGTATTCTTGCATATGTGTCTCAGTACACACATACACATATTTATATTAGGTATTTACCCTGGAGTAGAATTGCCAGGTCTTAGAGTGTGTGTATGTTCAACTCTAGTAGCTAATGCCAAAGAATTTTCCAAGGTGATTATACCAGTTTACACAAGCAGTAACCTTGTTGGAGAGTTCCAGTTGCTCCATGTCCTCACAACACATGGTTTTTGTCAGTCCTTTAATTTGAGCAAGTCTGATAAGTGGTTGTGTCTCATTCTAGCTTTAATTTGCATTCTCTGATGCATAATGAAATTGAACATCCTTTTATATGTTTACTGACCATTTGCATCTTCTCTTTTATGAAGTACCTGTTCATCTTTTGCATTTTTTTCCTTCCTTTTAAAAAATAAATTGAAGGAATTCTTTATATATTCTAGGTAAAAACAGTTTGTCAGTTATGTGTTACAAATTTATATAAATGCCCTTGACTTTTATACATTCACTTACTGTCCAGCAGCGTGGCAGTTCTTGTTTATTCTGTTAGTTTATCTGTAGATTCTTTTACGTTTTCTGTGTTTATAATCATCTTATGCAAAGGACAGTTTTATCTCTCCCTTTTCAATCCTTATACCTTTTATTTCTTTTTCTTGACTTACTGCATTGGCTTGTACCTCCAGTGTAATGCTGAATAGAAATGACGATGGCAGGCATCCTTGTCTTGTTTCCAGTCTCACATTTCATTCTCAAATATATTATTCTAGTTTTTATCCCCAACTATTTATCAGATTATGGAAATTCTTTTTTACATACTATTTTGGTAAGACTTTTGTTTTCCCTTTTTAAAAAATCATAAATGGATATTGAATTTGGTCAGATACTTTTCCTGCATCTATTGAGATGCTGTGTTTTTCTTTTTTTTTTTTCCCACTTGTTAATCTGAATTACGTTGAATTTCAAATGTTAAGCTAACTTCCCATTCCTGGTATAAACCAAACTTGGTGGAGATGTATTTTCATTTTCACATATTAGTAGATCAGTTAGCTGCTATTTTAGTTAGTATTTTTGCATCTATATTTATGAATGAGATTGGCCTGAAAATTTCCTTTCTCTAAATATTCTTAGGTTTGATATCAAGGTTTGCTTGACTTATAAAATGAGCTTGGGATTATACTCTATTTTTGCATTCTCTGGAAAATTTTGTGGGAGATTATAGTTTCTTACGTGTTTTATAAATTTGCTGGTAAAGCCATCTGGGCTTGAAATTGTCTTTGTAGGAAGGTTTTAAATCACATATTTAATTTCTTTAATAGTTGGAGGACTACTCAGAAAATTTTGGCCATCAGTATGTCTTCTTTGGAGAAATGTCTGTTAGATCTTCTGCCCATTTTTGGATTGGATTGTTTGTTTTTTTGATACTGAACTGTATGATCTGTTTGTATATTTTGGAAATTAATCCCTTGTCAGTCGAATCATTTGCAAATATTTTCTCCCATTCTGTAAGATGTCCTTTCATTTTGTTTATGATTTCCTTTGCTGTGCAAAAGCTCGTAAGTTAGATTAGGTCCCATTTAAAAAAATTTTTTTGCTTTTATTTCTTTTGCCTTGGGAGACTGACCTAAGAAAAGAAAATGTTGCTGCAATTTGTGTCAGAAAACATTTGCCTGTTTTCTTTTCTAGGAGTTATATGGTGTCATGTCTTATATTTAATTCTTTAAGATTTGGCCCTTTTTAAAATCACGTTTGTTTTCTTATTGTTGAGTTTTAAGAGTTCTTTGTGTATATGGGATAAAAGTTGTTTTTCTCACGTGTCTTTTGCAAATAGTTTCTCTCAGTTTGTGGCTTGTCCTTGTATTTTCTTGACATCATCTTTCACAGAGCAGTTTTTAATTTCAGTGAAGTCAGGCTTATCAATGATTTCTTTCATAGATCATGTTTATAGTGTTGTATCTAAAAAGACATCCGTACCTAAAGTCATCTAAATTTTCTCCTATATTATTTTCTAGGAGTTTTATACTTTTGTGTTTTACTAGATTAAAAAAATTCTTTGAAGATCATTCCATTATCTACTGTTGAGATGTTACCTGTCAGTCTAATTATTGTTCCTTTGAAGGCAACATTTGGTGGTAGGAAGGGTTTAGCTGCTTTTAAGATTTTGTTTTTGACTTTTAGCAGTTTTACTATGATGTGACTAGGTGTAGGTATCTTTTTATTTATCCTTGTAGGATTTGGGGGGCTACTTGGACCTGTGGTTTGATTGATATCTTTTGTCAGTTTTGGAAAACTGTCCATTGTTATCTCTGCAAATATTTTTTCTGACCCATTCTTATTTTCTTTACTCATTGGTTAGGTTTTTTTTCTTTATCCTTTGTCTTTTATTTCTCTTCTCTGTTTTCTGTTCTTTTGTTTCTCTGAGCTTCTTTCCAGAATAGAGTCTTCTTACCTCTCTGTAATTTACTACTTTTCACTGCAGTGTATTGAATCTGTAAACATCATCCATTGAGATACTAATTTTGGTTATTTTATTTTTCAGGTATAGTATTTGTATTTTTTTCAAATTTGCTGTTCTTTCCCCCACCTTTAAAAAATGATTTCTAGTTCTCTAGTGAAATTCCTGATTTAATACACTGTCTCCTTGAACGTAATACATAAACTCATAAAGTCTAAGCTTTTATAATCTCAGCATTTGAAACATTGTTAATTTGTTTCTGCTTTGTTTATCTTGTCTTGTTTCCTTATGTGCCTGGTGGTTTTTTTTTTTTTTTTTTTGTAAAAGTTTTTTGGTTTTTTTTTTAACATTTTTTATTGATTTATAATCATTTTACAATGTTGTGTCAAATTCCACCGTTCAGCACAATTTTTCAGTCAGTCATGGACATATACACACTCATTGTCACATTTTTTTCTCTGTGATTTATCATAACATTTTGTGTATATTTCCCTGTGCTATACAGTGTAATCTTGTTTATCTATTCTACAATTTTGAAATCCCAGTCTATCCCTTCCCACCCTCTACCCCCCTGGTAACCACAATGTGCCTGGTGGTTTTATGAATGGATATAAGACATCCATATGGGATCTAGTATCATGGTTTGAAGAGATATAATTTGCAGTCCCTTTGAGAGCTTGCCTACTTATGGTTCATCTTTAACTCCTTATATCCTTACTCTTCAAGTCTTAATTTAAAGGGCTTAAACTTTTACACCCTTTGACTAGTCTGAAACTGGTTTTGTTTCCTTACCTTGTGAGGCTCTGCTTCACTTGTCAGTCTCAGTTGCATCTTCTTGATGCTCCCAAGGGAAAGCTGCCCTACATATCTGACTCTTCTGTGGATATCCTTCTCTTAGATCTTGGCCTGCTGATTCTCAACTCCCTCTTTAGTTCTCTGATGCCTTTTAGTCATACTCCCCACCCCTCCAACTTTTTCTTATTTTCTCATTTGGAAGGTTTTTGTATCAATTTACTATAACTAGAAATTGAACCATTTTTCCCTTACTGTTAAACTTACTCATTGAGATAGTATTTCTGTATTAACTTTTAAAAATTATCTAAGTACTACCCTTGTAATATAGTATATTAAAAAGACACACAGAAGTTTAAAGGAACAGAAAAAAGTCACTGTGCCATCAATAACATCAGTTACTGTTAATAGTTCCTTTTTGTTAAAGAGCTGGTTTTTGTGGGGTTTGGGTTGGGGAAGAGTTTGGAGATAAGCTTAGTTTGAATATTCTAAGTTTGAGGTGATTAAAATGTCTAAGTAGAGCTATGCTTGAGGCATTTAGATATTAAACATGATTTTGTTCAAGAGCAGTGTGGAGATATGGATTTGGACATTAAAAACAGAATGTTAGTTGAACCTACAAAGGTAAATGGAAGGCAGTGGTGGTTGTAGGCTGTTCCACTGTTAAGGGTAGCACAAATTGAGAAGGGACAGGGTAATTATGGGAGACGTAATACAGAACTTGACTTTTGTAGTGTGAAGAAGGCCAAGATAGTGTTGTATTTTTCCTTTGTAAGGTATGTGCCTTTGGGAAAACTTTTTTCTATTCCATATTTAATGGCTTTGGTTGAATTTTTTAAGCCTGAAATTCTATATGCTGAATAGCAGTTATATAAAAGCACAGTATTCTAGTGGGAAATACTTGTTTATTAGTGTTTTAGATGTAATCACAAAATAGATTAAGTCCTGAAGTTCAGGGTCTCACACTTGCTAATTATTCATATTTAGTTTTGTGCAGTGACTGTCATTAATCTTCTATTAAATGTGCATTATAATGAAATCACAATGTTAAAGAATAGTAAAACTATATTAAATACATCAAGGAAATATTAAATACAAGTGACTTTGACACTGAATGACTTTACAGAAAGAGAGTATACAAGAAGCAATACTTTTGTACTTCCTGTTCAAATAACCATTGTATTAAAGGTAAAAAATAGGAGTGACTTCACTGAAGTTTTTTTGGTGGTATGAATTATTTTAGTTCTTTATCAGATGAGTTCTTTAATTAAGTAGATGTGCACAGAGGGCATTTAAAGATAGGCCAGAAGTTCATGACCACATACCTACTTATTTTTAACATATACTTTATGTTGTCTTTTTGTTTCTACAGTTTTAATTGTATTTTGATAATTTTGCTATGTATTTGGTCATTTAACAGGAGCTATTATAATATGGAAATTTGATTTAACAGGGCTACAATAGAAGAGGTGTACTCCAGGTCAATGACAAAACTAGCAAAATCCGCAAGCAACTATTCACAACTTGGGTGAGTTAATTTCTTTGAAAAACTCTTTCAGTGTTGATTTGGGCAAAGTTCTGAGAGTGTTAGGTTCCCATTAAGGATGTAGTAGTTTGTAAATATAATAATATGTAATGTATTTATTTAAAATGTGTCTATATATGAATATATTCTTGACTTGATAGAAAATATAATTGAATTTGCTGAATCAGTTAATACAAAGCAAATGAAACTTATTTTTCCCCTTTGTTAAACTATGCAGTCATAATTTTGAGATTTTAAATGTTATGTGTTGTGCTCATTATATTCTGGTTTTCTCTAGCTTTATTTAAATTCTTTTGAACAGTGATCTTTAAAAACTCTTGAACTTTATTGAAATGATTAAAATGCATTGAAAACATTGCTTCTGATTTTGTAGACTACTTTTAAATGCTCTTCTTAAAATATGTGCTGAGGAAATGTGTTCTTTGAAAAATGAATGTTAATAATAAGAATGCATTTAAAATGGGGTGTGCTTATAGCCATAACTCTGGGAAGAGTAGTTGTATAATTTGAACGATAACAACTCTGGAAGGCATACTTAATCAGACTTAATTATCTAAAATTGGGGGAGAGGTTATAGTTTAACTAAGATGTTAAAATAATTAGTCTAACTAACATTTATAAAGATTTTTACAGTGATATTCAGTAAGAGATTCCTCTTTTCCTGGCATTCTGATGAATCTATGAATCCCACAAAATTTTATGTAGGATTTTGTGTAGCTATTCATGTTTTTGATGAAGATGGTTTATACCAGTTATTAGATTCACGTGCATCAAATTCTGTGATCTCAAAAACTGGTTAATAATGACTATTTTATGAAAGTCTTCTCTAGCATAGTTGAATGAGTTTAAACAAAAGTCTTCTACAGTTGCTTGCTCTCTCTTGCTTTCCAAGTTGGCTGCCTGTACTCTGTCTTTGGGGTGTGTATCTGCCTTTACTTTAACCTTTACTGTAATCCCCCCTTCTCTCCCTGATGTACATCTCTCTAAATCTACTTTTACTCAAAAAAAAAAAAAAGGTTTTTTCTGTCTTGTGGCTCAGATAAAGGAGAGATGGACTCTTAGTTTATTCTCAGGGTGGTGACACTGCCCATTACGTAAGTGCTGTTGGCCACAGCTAAGAGGATCTTCTGCAGTTCTGTGCACTAGCTAGGAAGGCTGGAGAGCTACCACCTTTTTCACCCAGAGGAGAGTGGGACTGGTAGATGATGGCTAATTTTTTTTCCTTCTTCCAGTTCTTGCCCTCCCCTCCCACTCCCCCTTCAAGTTCATTCTTCCTCCTTTTTTCCATCTCTGTCCTCACTTTTCTGGCAGCTTCCTGTTTATAACTCTTCCATGTAACTCTAACATGCCTTTTCTAAGACAAATTTTAGAAGGGCCAGAAAGTTAACTGAAATAACAGAAGCTAGCTTTAACTAATTGGTCGTGGTTTTAATATAGGAAATTCTACCTTATTTTTAGTTACGAGTTGGGAGAGTGGGAGACAGAAAAAACAGGGGTTGACTTCAACTGTGTTTCCTGATAATAAAGTTACTGACAACATTTTTGTCTTTGGATGTGTGCTTCTCATAAATTATAAGTGATATTTTGTTTTTTGTTAGTATCATCAGTTAAGATTATAAAGATTTTAAATATTTATGTTCTTGTTTTCTGATGCATATTTAGGCAAGAAATTGAATTTTATCTTTCCATATTTAGTTCCATTTAAACATATTTTGGATTTGTCAGTTTTCTTCCTTAGTGTTTATTATACATTAATGTGAATTACTTGACCAGAAAAAAGTTGTGTATATCAAACGTTTAAAAATGGAATATTTGGAGGGGAGGGTATAGCTCAGTGGTAGAGCACATGCTTAGCATTCACGAGGTCCTAGGTTCATTCCTTAGTATCTTCATCAAAAATAAATAAATAAATAACCGAATTACCCCTCTCCCCAGAGTGGAATGATATTTGAAATTCCTTAAAGAAACCTGTATTTAAAGAAATCTTATTTTAAACCCCTTTTCTGTGTAAATAATCCTTGGGTAAAGTAAACTCCTTCTTATCTGCTTTGTGAAATCTAGACTATCATGTATCAGGTATACCTGAAGTGATGTACATGTATTTTGGTGCTAAAGTGAGTGGTTACTTTTCAGGAGTTCTTTTCCAGTTTTTTTTTATCTTGAAATTTTCCATCTAACTACTTGCTGGATTTAGTGCTGATTAGATTTTAAGGTGTGAGGTAAGACCTAATCACAACAGTCCTAGAAGTATTTTAATTATCCTCTGAACTTTTTTGTTATTGTTTAAAATGATCATTGTCAGTTAGTTTTCCTAATGGGTAGGAAATGCAGTAATTGACACAAAGTACATATTAGGATATGTAATTTCTTTCTCTACCTCTTGTCTTAGTGATAATTGTTGCTGTTTGTTTTGTTTGTTTTTGTTTTATAGAGCAAAGCAAATGGGAAATACTTGAGGAAAACATAGGATAAGATTATCTTTATATCATTCTCTACTGACTAAATTAATTTAAACTAACCATTGGCATGCTAAGTATTATCCAGGATATAATAATGTAGTAATTCTTGGAAGTACTTGAACCTGCTGGAAATACTAAATGCTCAATGTTGAGAAAAACTGGTAGGAAAGTATGTCATACATTCTGTATCAAGAAGCAGGACTCTCTTAGTGTTTTGTTGAAGTACACAGATAAAATCTGAAACAAGATTTCAGATAAAAGGTTTAAAATAATTCTTAAATAAATTTTAATGATGAAGACACTTAAAAATTATGTGCAAATTTGACTCTTGCATGTTTAAATTCAGAGGACCTCTTATTTTTGATGAAGCATTTTAAATGGAGCACTGAATAGTCTAAAATTGAGATTTGATAATAAGCTAGTTTTAAACAGTAGACAGTGATTAGAAAGGCATCTGATACAAATCTAAATAACCAAATCAATGCAGAAAAATGACACAGTATAATTGAGAGAGGGACATGGCCAGACCTGTAATTTTGACTCATTTCTGTGTATCTGAGGTCTAAAAATATTTTAAATAATTAACCAAGGAACCAAGGATTAAAAAAAAAATCAAGGTCAGGCTGTCAGTCATTTAATTTGTGATTTATTTCAATCTTATCTTTTGCGTAATTAAAACTGCTGAATATAACATTATTTCATTGGTTCTATTTTGGAACTTTAACTTTTTTTTCCCTTTTAGTAAATTATTCCCATGTTTTCTTTCCTTTAGAACATTTGCACCAGTGTGGGATGTGTTCAAAACATCTACAGAGAAATTAGCAAATTGTCACTTAGATCTTGTTAGAAAATTACAAGAATTAATAAAAGAAGTTCAGAAGTATGGAGAAGAACAAGTAAAATCGCATAAAAAGGTATCAGTTTTTCCTTGTTAAAGGATTGATTGGTCAGATATTGAATGCTTTGTAGTTCTGTCATTTTGATAAATCATTTCATACCAAACAGACTAAAGAAGAAGTTGCAGGAACTCTGGAAGCTGTTCAAACCATTCAGAGCATAACTCAGGCCCTTCAGAAATCCAAGGAAAATTACAATGCCAAATGTGTAGAACAGGAACGTTTGAAAAAGGAAGGAGCTACACAAAGAGAAACAGAAAAGGTAATCATAATGAAAATATTTCTGTGGTTTCAGAGCATTTTCAATTATAAGACTGCAATTCACCTTCAAACACTCAAGAATGATTTCATAATATAGGTAAGGTCACTGTGCCTCTGAGTATTAATGATTTACCTAAGTAAAACAGAAGTAGGTTTGCAAAATGTGTTGTGTATGGTAAATAGATTGGCAGATAAATAAAAAGGAATGATTTCTTTATGTCAGTAATACATTTATAGGATTTTTTTATAAGATAACTGATGAGATACTGCTTGGTATAAGATTTAATAATGAGGTAAACATTTTTTTGAAGCAAGACTGGTTTATTTAGCAAGGCAATAGATACCTGAGGATAAGCTTTAAATACATGTGGGTGATTTATTGCTGACTTTGAGCACATGTATGTAGTGTTGTGGTAAACCACAACCCTTTCCCCCACTCTCATTTTAATTGAAACTAGATTTTTTTTTCCCCTTTCAGAACAGTTTAACCATCCACTTCTTTGATGTGGTATATCTCATTTAGGAATCAGCCATAGGGAGTGATAATTTTGAAAGCTTTGTAAAGTATTTGAAATATCCAGTAAAAAAACAAATTGTAACTGTTTTGCAATTATAGTAATTATAACAGTGTATAAAATGGGCAAAAACTAGAAGAGAATATGGAAAAATCAGAGCAGTTGATGCAATTTAGGGTAATATGTTTCCTTTAACGTTTGTGCAATAAATAAAAATTAGGAGGGGGTAAAAGATGAGGCCCAGTAAGCTTATGACTTTAAAACATTCTTCATTCCAGATACAACAATTATGAATAAAATATAAAAGGGGAAGATAAAATAACACAGTCCAAAAAGAAGAATATTATCTTTGTGAACCAGAAAGGAACAGAAACCCAAAGGGGCATGGAAAGATTGATTATGCAGTTTTGTCAGACTCAAAGTCCTAAGTTAGGCAGTGGAATTTAGCTCTTGTGTGGTAAAGGGGACTAAATCTTCCCCACTTGAGATTAGCACAAGGAACTCCACTCACTTTGTGACACTCTAGGTAGCGAAAAAAGACTGTCAGACTGCTAAAGGGCTAAAGCATAATTGGAAATTGGGGACTTTTGGACACAATTCTGACCAGCAGTCAATCCAAGGAACCAATTCATGATGTTTTGATCATATCCCCAATTTCTTTGAGGGAAGTAATTAAAGCCACCTTTTAAAGACTGATACTAAATTGGGGCCTTGAGGGGCTGGCAGGAGATAAACTGAAAACTCCTTGGAGGGTATTGGTGAGTGTAAAGAATAGAACATAACACATTTCTAAGAGGAATGTTTGCCTTGTATTCTGTGGAGTTTTTCAGCAGCACTGATGGAGGGAGAGAGAAGAGAGAGAGGGAAAAATGAGAAACCTCTTATCTGAAATGAGCAAACAACCAAAATTCTAGAGCACATCTTAAGAAATCTAATATAGGTTTCCCCCGCTATCTAGCAGTAGAGTGTTCCTTTGAAATCTTTTGTAAGCCAAATGGCAAAAGCAGAGAAGCAATTACCTGAGAACATCTTGCTAATGGATGTACAAAGTAAACTGAGATGAAGCACAGATGCTTACAGACACAGTTTAAAACCATGGAGGCTGATCCTGAGATGCTGACTGTGGGTCCCAGGAAGGAGCTTGATGGTACCACTCTTAACTGCTCCAGGTGCCCGCTGCCTCTATAATGGCTCCTGCAAAATGAACGCTGAATGGATGCTATTTTTGCTTTTTGCTTTCTTTTGTAAAAGTGAAAATCTTTGGATTTCTTTTGGTTAGTGAAAACAGGTACTAATATAATTCTTTTGTAAAAGCAAAGTGGTATAAAATGAACTTTTGAAAAGCAGGGGATACCTCCATTAAGGCAGACAGCAATAAAAATTTAATAGTTGGAATAAGAATTCACTCCAGATGAAATTTAGATTTATAAAACATTTGAACAGAAATGTTAGTGTGTGTTCAGGATGTTCAGAGGTGAACATGAATATAAACTTAAAGAAAATTAAAAGAGGCATTAAACAAGATCTACTGAGTAGGAAAACAGCTAATTAGGTAAGTTGGCAATGAATATATAGTGATTGAAATTTTTTACAAAAACAATAGAGAAGATGAACTTTAGACTTGATATAGTAAAAGAGTGAATTTGGAAGGTAATACTAAGGGAACTCACCCAGAACATAGTACAGAGAAATAAAGGTTACCAACATTCATCTTCTGTGGATTTCAGAAGAAAAAAAATGGAGAGGAAGGTAACAGGTAATATTGAAGAGTTAACCAATCAGAGTTTTCAGAATTAAAGAAATTCAGGAGTCCTCAGATTAAAAGTATATACTTGATATTAAGCAGGTTAAATAAAGATAAATTCAGACCTAGACATCAGGGAAAAAGAGAATATTAAAAGCTACCAGGTATTTCTTTTTCCTCACATCTCTGAAATCAGCATGCGTCTTCAGTTGATGTTATTATATAATCACTCTTGGTAAGGTGGCATTTGTGGTGTAGTTTCACTGCATATGTGAACTTGGTTATTATATACCTGGTGGCATGATTGGACAACTGCAACACTTTGATGCTTGAGACCACTTTAAAACAATTTGAGGAAGGAATAGTTCTGATTGTTCTCTGAAAACCTTTTGTTAAGACCTGGTAAGATTAAGAAAATGTGAGCACCAGTACTTGGAAGAAAATCTAGACATAATAGTGGACCAGTTTTACGAAATGCTCTGTTAATAGTGCTCTTGATGACATCAAGGATAATATTATGTGTGGGGAAAAAACAGACCTCTCAGCAGCCTCTAAATTGGAAGTAATTGAGAAGAGTCAGAATCTGAATATGGAAAAAGATTTGAGAGTATCTCAAACAATTCATTTTGCTTTCCTTTTTATTATGTATCATACAAGAATAAAAATGTACCTCTAAAGTCTAAAAGAGCTCTTTTAATAGTTTAAAATAATTTTAAGTGTTAAGAAAGCGTTATTTCATGGTTTAATTGACAGTACTTTTCTATTTTAGTAGTATACAAAATAATGGTGTGTGTTACATTAAGTACTATGTTAGAATTAGTAGTAGTCAAAAATGTACATTAAGCATAACTACTAAAAGGAGATGGTCTAAAGGGGAAGGGTATAGCTCAGTGGTAGTATATATGCTTAGCATGCACAAGGTCCTGGATTCAATCCCCAGGATCTCCACTGAGAATAAAGGAATAAATAAATAAACCTTATGCCCACCCACCCCGCAAAGAAGATTGTCTAAGTCCTCTAAATCAGCAAAAGGAAGAGAAGAGGAAGGGGTGCTTCTTTCTAATTGTTCATCTCAGAAGTATTATCTTTGCTTGTGATACTACATGTGTTAGTGGGTCTCTGATTTATATATATTCAAATCCAAGTCTAAGTAAATAATTTATTTGGTCTGTAATAAGCTTTTTATGAAAATGAATATAGATTTTTTTTTAAAAACATGGGTCTTAGAACCATTTTTCATTTGGTAAACCTGAAAATGTAAATGACTTATTGGCTGTTATAGTATGCTTCTCATCTTCACTCGTAAATCCTTTTATAAAACCATTTAGAAGTTACTTATATTTGTGGACTGTGATGAAGTACTTATTTTATATGTATATATATTTGATTTTACTATAAAAATTATAGACACTTAAACAAATATTTCTGGTAGTATATCAGTAAATTTATTTATAGTGCTAAGGAAATAAATAAAATGTAGGACTTATATTGTTATCAATAGATAATCCATTAAAGCCAGTCTTTTATTCATGAGAAGAAATACAGCTGTTGCTTTTAAAGCATAATTTCCTCATTCAAGAATAGCTGCTCCAACTTCTCCTTAAATAATGACTTTATAGAAGTGGTCAAGTTTGTTACTACTGGGACATTTAGTTTCTCTAATTCTACCCTAAAAATTTACAGTTTTACTAAGCATATATACTGTTTAGAAAGTCATGTTTACTTAATTGAATATTGCTGTATGTAGTTGTTTCCTACGAGAGTTATTTGTTGCTTTCCAAAAAGGTAGATGTTCTCAGTACAATTATATTCTAAAATGGCCTCTATGGCCTTTTATAGGATATTTTAGTTTTCTTTAAATTTATTTTTGTCATTACTTAAAACACCTTGTGAGTCAATAAACTTTAAAAAAATTTATTCCTTTATTAATAAATACTACTTTTGTCAGTTTTCCAAGATGCTGCTTTAAGTTGGTATGTAATTTTATTCTCATATATTATTTTCACCTTTGAAGAGTTTGCACTGATATAAAAAATATGTTAGAACTTATAAAGGATATCTTATTTCTTCTTTTATGCCTTCAACTAAGAGAAATGAAATTTTACACAGTTTTATGGTATCTTAAAGTATGCTCAAAAAAGACTTACCAGTTCACAATTCTGAGTTAGATCCAGCTCTTAACCTTTGATATGATGACCATAATTTTATGGTTGGAAATAGTGAACAGATAAGTTTCTATGTTGAATGGCTGGACCAAGATTTATGATGAAAATATTGTGGGATGAAAAAAGAAGTTATGAAAATATGCTAGTTTAAAATTCTAAAATTAATATTTCTACTCTTCTTGATTCCATAAAGATTTGAGTACCAAAACTAGTTTGAGAGAATTCTAGAGACTGAGTATAGGAAGAGGAAATGATGCCTCAGGAACTTCCTTCCATCTCTTACAGTCCTGTTATTTTAAGTGTAATGAATAATATTATGAAATAATTACTTTGTTTACATTTTAGAAATCTATCATAGGTCTTGTGTAAGGAGTAATGATCCTCTAGGCAGTCATCTTTTACTTCTGTTAGATTATAAATTCCTTATAAGTGAGAAACCATTGTATTGTCCACAGTACAGCATATGTTTACTTGGAAAAATAATCATTATAGCAAAACACTATTTGAATTCTTCCTGTTCATTAATATAATAAAAATTAAAAGTTTATTTTAAATATAGACTATAGACTTAATTCTTGCCTTTTAAAATGGTTTATTCAAACTGTTTTTTGATTGTTGGACTACCAATTTGTGTGCCATAGTAAATAAATATTTTAGTTTCTATCATCTGCCTATCATCATGCCAAATGTTGTGAAGGTAAGTAAAGCTAAATACATATTACCACCTTCTGTCTTTAAGAAGCTTTCTTCTTTTTAGGGAGCCAAGACTTACTGAATAGTACAGAACAAGAAGCTATTAGAGAAAAGTTTTAATGATAAGTTTAGAAAGGGAGATACCTTATTTTGTATAGAATGTGTAAAAAGAAAACAGGAAAGATTCCATGAAATAAATTACTTTTAAAATTGTGGACACAGTAGGAGGTATAGCTTGGTGGTAGAGCACGTGCTTGGTGTGCATGGGATCCCGGTTTCAATCCCCAGTGCCTCTGTTCAGGAGGAAAAATGTGTGGACACAATCATAGTTATATTGGAGGGGACTTTACCATTTTTATTAATTTCCTTCCAAATTGCAAATATCTCTAGGAGTGATCACATATCATATCTTTATCAATAGCTGACACATAAATTATAAGGCAGTAGCTTAATAGGCAGCAGAGAAAAACGACAGTGCTAGAATGAAGAATAAGCAAGGAGGAGGGACTACCAGTAGAACTATATCATTTTGCTAGACTGTCATTAAAAATCACTCCATGGACTGTGGATTTTTTTATCACTCTTGTATAGACTGAAAATTATGGTAGCTGGAAAAAGAAATTCTCTTCTTTCAAATCTCTTGGCATAAAAAAATCCTAAAAGAAACCCAGGCAACCATGTCATTAAAATTGATTTTGAAATAAATTCTAGCAAACTTGGTTATCTGGGCTTCCTGTGAAGGTAGTAACTCAAAATGTTCATCTCATGAAAGGGCTGAGAAGTTAGAGGAAGTTTAGTAACAGTAGTATAAAGTAATGTTGTGTGGCTAGACAGTGGGAAAAGAGTTTAAAAAAAAAATCCATAGGAGCAAACTAGAAAATCATTATATTATTTTGGACACTTATTGTAGGGATGGAGGGCTCAGTACAACTCTTAGATATGATAAGAGCAAAATATAACAGTAAAATATAATGATGTATGTTCCTGTTTATGTTCCTTTTAAAAACTATTACAATAGCAGATACTATTTATTTTGTAGATTTCAGTACAGTCCCTGTCCCAGCACTTATATAAATTCCATTTCATCATTTGCAAAGCTCTAAAAAATAGATGGTATTGTTTCCATTTTAGGAATGAGAGAACCATATAGAACTCGAAGACCAGGTCAACTGGGTAGTAAATGGTAGAGCTAGAATTTGAATCCAGTTTCTTTTGGCTCCAAAACCAGTTTTGATACAAGATAACAGTTTTGATACACTACAAGGGGCATCCTATATTTATTTAAGAAGGCAGGAAAGCATAGAACATATATGTTTAATGTAGTATATGAAGTTATATTTTAGAGACTAGAGTTGCCTTTTTAGAGAGTAGGACTGTATGTATCTTGCCAATTCCAAATTTCTGGGTAAACCCAACTTCCTGTTTCTAATAATTTTTAGACTCCTGAACATAGGTGGAGATAATTACATATTGGTTCAGGTTGGCTCTGCATAAATTCAGTTTTACTTAGCTCCCAGTGGCTCATAGCAGTACTTCTGCTCATCTAGGTATTACCTGTTGCATTCTTCACAACTATGGTTTGAAACTCTTTTTTCATTCTCCTGAAGTTCCCAACCCTACCCTACTCTTTGTCTCTCTTAGCAGACCATCTCATGAAGAAAATGGAGATGTTTGTGTCTTTAAACCTTATAACTTCTCTTTTTTTGATCTTCTTTAAACTCTTACTTACTTTGACATCCCTTCCCTTTCAACTGCCTGTGTCCAAATTGATCAGTCTTTTGGAAATAGTCATGTTTCTTGATAGCCATGTGTCTGCCCCAACCTACAAGTCACACGTAATCTTTCCTCTTCTTGAATATCTCTCTTTCATAGAATTTTTTTTTTACTTCTTTGCTAGTATCTACCAATTTCTAGTTATTTATGTATAGCTTATACTTCTTTTTTAAAGTCCTTGAGGAAAAGATCCCTATATAATTTATTTTCATATTCCTCACTGCCTAATATTTAACATATTTTTAAGCTTTTATTGAATAAGTGACTTTGTTAAAATTAGAGCTATAATGCAGTAACAATTTTTTAAAAAATAGAAATCTAGAAAAATAGGCAATGATAAAAACAAATGTATAGATTTTCTGGAGCATAATGGAAACTGAAATCAAGGAAAACTGATTTCTTTCAACTTTTTAGCTAGCTTTATAGTCACTGATCAGATGTAAAATAGAATATGTTTGTTGTGGGAGGAAGGAAGACTCACAGGTATATAAAGCAGTGTCAAGTATATTCCGATGGTATTGTCACATTTTTGTTCCTTGAATTCTTAGTAACACTGTACTATTATAATGTGGTTGTGTAATCTTACTGTGAGTTTTAAAATGAGAGTATTTTAACTTTTTAAAGCATGTTCCATCAGAAAGGAAAGGAGAATCAGCATTTAATTTCTGCATTATTGTGTGACCATAACAAAAAATATTACTAAGGAGGACTTGAAAAGAGGTATTAAAGTTAGTTTATATCATCTTCATCTTACCATAGGCCTCATCTCTTAAAATGTATTTAAATTATTATTTCATATTAACTTATATTAGGAAAGAAAAAACATTTTGTGTAGTTCAGAATGTTTTTCTTTTGTTACAGGCAGCTGTTAAAGCTAAGAAAGCTACAGATACCTATAAACTCTATGTGGAAAAATATGCATTAGCAAAAGCTGATTTTGAACAGAAAATGACAGATACAGCTCAGGTTGGTATTTTTGAGGCTTTAAATCTAAACTACAGGATATTTCTGTTTACTGATATAAATAGTATAATTTTTCTGTCATAAAATTTTTTAATACTAGAAAATGTTAAAATACACAACCTCAATGTTTTTACAATGCTTTTTTAAAATTACACATTTTGTTTTGGAGATTGAGGACCAATGATCAATAATTAAAATATCATAAGGGATTATTCAGATAGACTAGAAGAGAATGTTTAAAGAGCACTGAAGAAAATGAAGACACTGGGAGATGGTGAAGACAATACTGATTGTTAGCCTTACGTATGAGTTTTAAAATGGACTTCTACTTAAGAAGAAAATTGTAAGTGACTCAGTGCTGAGGATTTAGCAGTTAACAGAACAAGAATCTCTACTCTTCAGTTTATATTAGCTAAGGAATGGAAGCAACCTAAATGTCCATCCACAGATGAATGGATAAAGAGGATGTTTTATATATGTACGTGTATACTCACCCACCCAGGAATATTACTCAGCCATAAAAAGAATGAAATAATGCCATTTGCAGCAACATGGATGGACCTAGAGGTTATCATACTAAGTAAAATAAGTCAGGCAGAGAAAGACAAATACATAATATTACTTATATGTGGAGTCTAAAAAATGATACAAATGAACTTACTTACAAAGCAAAAACAGACTCACAGACAGAAAACAAAATTACGGTTAACAAAGGGGAAAGATGGGGGGAATAAATTAGAACTTGGGATTAGCAGATACAAACTTACATATAAAATAAACAACAAGGCCCACTGTATAGTACAGGAACTACATTCAGTATCTTGTAATAAACTATAATGGAAAATAAAAATAAAAAAGAATCCTTGCTGTCATAGAACTTCCATTTTAGTAAGGGAAGATAGACAATTAAAAAAAAAAAAAGCCTGTCTCTCATAAGCTTGGGATAGATTATATTCAGTGTGATGTTCTTAGAGCCTTAATTAAAGGTGTAGATTTAAGACAGGTGCCTTATATGAATCATACCTAAAACTTCCACCCCCATCTCTTGTTCTCTTTTCTTACTTTGTTTTTCTCCTTAGCGTCTGTCATTATCTAACATACCATGAATTTTATTTACTATCTCGGCCAGGATAGGATAGGTATGTTGAGGTGACAAAGAACCCCTAGAATCTCAGTTGCTTACAATAGGAAAGGATTATTGTTGTCTTGCTATTTGTTCAGCTTGGGTCAGCTGCAGATCTGATGCATTGTCTTCACCCTGGTACTGAGGCTGGTGGAGGAGCTAATTCTTAAAACATTACTGTTTTTAAAAAAATTTTTATTGAAGTATAGTTGATTTACAATGTTGCATTGGTTTCAGGTGTACAGAAAAATGATTCAGATATATATATGTATCTGTATGTATACATTCTCTTTCAGATTCTTTTCAGGTCCTTGTTGTGTATCTATTTTATATATAGTAGTGTGTATTTGTTAATCCCAAACTCCTAATTTATCCCCACTCCCTTCTGCTTTGGTAACCAAAGATTTATTTTCTATGTCTGTGAGTCTATTTCTGATTTGTAAGCAAGTTTGTTTGAACCTTATTTTTTTTAGAGTCCACATATAAGTGATATATGGTATTTGTCTTTCTCTGACTTACTTCACTTAGTTTGATAATCTCT